AGTCAGCCAGCAGGCTTAGAAATGTATCATTTTGCTATATGCCTTTGTTTGTGAGGAGAGAGAATCTCTAGAAGAAGAAGAAGTTTAGAGAGAGAGAGTGGGTTTTCAAGCTTGATTCCTAGAGATCAAACCATTAGATTCGCGTATTGAGGTTATATTCTTGATTTACTCTTGTCATTCTTATTGATCATCTAGCTGCATTGCATGATCGAACCCGTTTTGCATGTCATGCATCGATTTAAAAGTGGTTTTAGAAAGAGAAAATGGTGTTCATGTGTTCTTGAAAGAAAGGTCTTGTTTGATCTAAAAGTTTGCATTAAGTTTCATGTTTTTGTGTTTGTTCTCACTAAATCCTTGAATATGGGTACCCAGGTCCATGTTTTTGAACTCATAGCATGAAATCTCAGATTTTGTAATAGCAAATCACGATCTTTGCATTCATCTTCCTTATGTTCATGTTCTTCATGTTCATCATGTTCTTCAAGAAAAGGAAACCCAGATTTTTCCCGACTTCATTCCTTTGAATGTGGCCATCGAGGCCACACCTCGCCAAGGGGGTGTGGAGCCTCAGCCTAGACCTGGTAGTTGCCCAACATATTTCTCGATATAAAGAACTGTATTTGTTTTGATTTGACTTAGTCTTGGGCAACGCCGAGATCATCTGCATGCATGTGAAACTTGTTTGAAAGTGCATTCAACAGATTTTACCATGTGTTTGTAGGGTTTGGACTCGCCTTGACCCCGACGTTTGAAGAACTAAGTGAGTGGTATTTTTAATAAAGCTATGTTATAATGCTTTGATGAAAGTCTTGTTTTGCTTCGTTTTGGAAAGTGTTTATAAGCATGAATGGTTATTTCTAATTGGAAAATATATATTATCTTGTTTTGATGACATTCTTGGAAAGTCCGTACGTGCTAAGGGACTATAAGCACTTGTAGCACAAAGTTTGGAAGTTCGTACGTGCTAAGGGACTATAAGCATTTGTAGCACAAAGTTTGGATGTCCGTACATGCTAAAGGACTATAAGCATTTGTAGCACAAAGTTTGGGAGTCCGTACGTGCTAAGGGACTCTAAGCATTAGTAGCACAAGTCCTTAGTGTCCGGGGACTATAATGCAACGACACCATTGAATTGAGATATCTCCCTTGTCTTGCCTTGTCTTGTCTTATTTGCCACTGACGGTTTACCGCGTGGGTTCGTTTGCCGAGATGTCATCACTTGTATTATAATGATGTTAGTAAGCATCCTTTGGAACTTGAAAAATTTGCTAGATGGACTTGGTTCATCCCTTGACTTGCATTAATTATGTATGTATTGTTTGATAAAGATCTTGAATACCAGTCATGCGAACCCCTTTATTTCTTATACCATTCACTGGGTATCCAAGCTCATCCTCTCTATATATATGTAGGTGATGAGCAGGAAGGCGGTGACGCCTAGGTGTGACTCGCAAGCTTGTTTTGGGTTTTTGGTTATGTCGGCCTAACTTGTATTAATGTCGGCAGTCTTGAAAATTATGCTTCTCAGCTTATAGCACTTGTAACTTACATATGTCGGCTGGAGAAGCCTTTTGATCAAGATGAAAAATGTATTTTGTACTTTATTGTATTTGTATCCAAGTTGTAATATTATGAAAAGTTGTATGCCATTTCATGTAACTTACGCACTGCTCTTATGGACCACTTGTATTTTATGATTATTGCTTCCGCACTTGTGAGCCCCATATATAATTATACTCTGTGTGTGTGTGAATTTTGAAAGTTGGCCTTCGGTAATCTCGGATTACTGGCCATCATGGCACTAAACTACTAGGGGCGGTTTGGCGTCGTGACAAATTTTTAGCAACTAAATGTTTTGGTCGCAAGAGTATTCACTGAAGGATTGTCAGGGAAGGTAATTGGCTACTAAAATTATTTTAGTCGCCAAATGTAATGCAATGCCGACTAACTTTTTAGTCGCTAAAAGTATTGAAAAAAAATTAAATATTACCTTTTTAGTGACTAAAAATTTTTGTCGTGAAAAACATTACTAATATTTAGCTACTAAAGTTTTAGTCACCAAAATTTTTTTTGGTTCCTCCTATTATTTTTTTAGTAACTAAATATATTAGCCGCCTAAAGTGTGATTGTGTTTTAGCTACTAAAAATTTAGTCGCCTAAAGTCTCACATTTTTAGCTACTAAAATTTTAGTCGGCAAAGAGTTCTTCTTTTGGCTACTAAAAATTTGGTCGCCTAAAGTCCTACACGATTGGCCACTAAGATTTTAGTTGGCAAAGAGCTCCTATTTTTGCTATTAAATATTGGGTCACCTAAAGTCCCGCATTTTTAGCTACTAAATTTTTAATCAACAAAACTGTTTTTATTCTTTTGATTTTCTTTTTAGCTACCAAATATTTTAGTCGTCAAATGTTGGATTTTATTTTAGCTACAAAACTTTTAGCAGCCAAATGTCTGTTTTTTTTATTTTTCTTTTTGCTACAAAACTTTTAGTCACTAAATGTCATTTTTTTTTTCCTACAAAACTTTTAGCCGCCCACAGTATTTTCCCAATTTCTTTTTAGTTACTAATTGTTTAGTCGCCAAAAACATAATATTATGTTTTATCGCAAAATTATAATTTCTCCATAATATGTCTATATTCCATGCAACCTATAATATGTATATAAAAAAAATGATACATCTATCAATCATTCCACAATCTACATCCATATACAAAACATAAATAATTTTAAATGTCAAAGTCCATACAAGCCAACTATTGTCCAAACTAAAATAATAATTATTTACAAAATATGTCATACAAAAATCAAAGTCCTTTGTATACAAAAAAATACATTTACTACCAAGTGAAATTACAATTTGGCACGGTACAAATTACCATCGTAATCTGTACCATGACAAAAGGTGATATATATACCACGAAAAAAGTTTTTCTATAGACCATGACAAAAGGTCTTATATGTACGTCGACAAATGGTCATATATATGTACCACGATAGAAGGTGATCTATGTACCATGACAAAAGCTTTTCTATAGACCATGACAAAATATCATATATGTACGCTGACAAATTAATGGTCATATATGTACCGCGACAGAAGGTGATCTATATACCACGATAGTCATTATCTGTTGATTGCCAAAAGTTTTCTGAATCAGTAATAGTGAACTACACAAAAGGTGAGGACGACAAAAGTATTATATTAGTCCAATATAAAAATGAAAATTCTTCTCCATACACCAATATAGATTATCTACAAGTCCACGCAACAAAGCCATCTACGAAAGACAAAAACAAAAAAAAAATATTAGAATTGGTTATAAAATATCAATTTAGTCAACCATAGAGAATATGTTCTAACATGCATTTAAGGTAGGACAATCGAGAAATGTCTTCCTGAAAATAAAAGAAAGTATAGATATATATATCATGCAATATTTATTCCAACCAACTGCACAAGCAATCTAATATGTAATTTCTTTGTCCTATAAATATATAAAGGCAATTATTAGAATATGTTAATATTATTTTCATAAAATTGTCGCTCTTTAAACTAAATGTTACTAGTTTTTCGACAAAGTATAAGGCGTTTTCGGCTCAAACTCCAATCCTGCGGGTCCTAATTACATTCCGTCAGTTGTCACAAGCTGTAATTATCATGGGAAAGCAGTCCATGAGAGCCACAAGGTGGTTCGAGGACTGTTATGAATTTTTGCCCCAAAACGCTCTTTTCCAGCTAAGTTTAGGGCGTACTCGGCTCTAACTCCCTACCTATGGGTCCAAATTATATTATGTCAGTTCTCACAAGTTCTATTTGTCATAGGGAACCTGTCCGTGTGAGTTACATGGTGGTTCAGGGGCTGTTTTGAATTTTCTCCCCCGAAACGCTCTTTTTCGACTAAGTTTAGGGCGTATTCGGCTCTAACTCCCTACCTACAGGTCCGAATTATATTCCGTCAATTCTAACAAGTCCTATTTGTCATGGGAAAACTGTCTGTGTGAGTCACACGGTGGTTCGGGGGCTGTTTTGAATTTTCGCCCCTGAAACGCCCTTTTTTAACTAAGTTTAGGGCGTATTCGACTCTAACTCCCTACCTATCGGTCTGAATTACATTCTGTCAGTTCTCACAAGTCCTATTTGTTATGGGGAAACTGTCCGTGTGAGTCACACGGTGGTTCGGGGGCTGTTTTGAATTTTCGCCCCTGAAACGCCCTTTTTTAACTAAGTTTAGGGCGTATTCGACTCTAACTCCCTACCTACCGGTCTGAATTACATTATGTCAGTTCTCACAAGTCCTATTTGTTATGGGGAAACTGTCCGTGAGAGTCACACGGTGGTTCGGGGGCTGTTTTGAATTTTTGCCCCCAAAACGCCCTTTTTTGACTAAGTTTAGGGCGTATTCGCCTCTAACTCCCTACCTACGATTCCGAATTACATTCCATCAGTTCTTACAAGTCCTATTTATCATGGGAAACCTGCCCGTGTTAGTCAAACGGTGGTTCGGGGGCTGTTTTGAATTTTTGCCCCCGAAACGCTCTTTTTCGAGTAAGTTTTAGGCATATTGGTTGCAAGACAAACATTATGAAAATAATAATAACAGTTCCCTTCAATCAACAGGAAATGTACTGACATTTATAGGTTCAAACTAGGAAGTTACGAATACCCCAAACTATGAATCATTCAACAATATATGACATTTGGCAAAATAATATAGTTTCATAACTAAAATAGAAAAATTACATCAGATAGTTCAGAATCATTTGATTAATCCCATTTTATGAGCACAGGTTATGCAGTTTAAGCCACATGCAGTATGCTACAAGTACCTACAAGTACCAAAGGTTAATTGCTGACATTGTGGAAATAGGAGCCCAGACACAAGGGTTTCATTTTTGTCAAACTTTAGTGTCTATTATGATGCAGGGACATAACATACCTTTGTGTCAAGCTGCATCTCTCCAGTATTTTCTATAACAAGGCATGCATCGTGGGCCTTCAGCCATTCCACATACTCTTCCAATCATCTGAATCCTTTTCCTCAGTTATTTCTATAGGCGAAGCATTGGTGAAGCCTAGAACCTGAGCAATATATGAAACAGGGACTGTAGGGCGACTTGAATGAGACACGCATCTCACAGTAGTGTACCGCATCTTCTCAACATAAAGATCTGCAGTGAAAGAAAAATATTTTATTATCTGTTTTAAGTGTTACTAACCCATGGAAGTTAGAATTAGAGATAACAATATGTATACCCACCCATAAGACAGGCGTTAAGATTAGGTGCAGTCTTGTATAGTCTAAAGAACCGAACATAATTTCCTGAAGTGACAGCGGTATGAATTGCAAGAGCATGTTTTACAGCCTCATCTTTTTTGGTTTCAACTGATGAGCTGAAGGCCAATACAATGCATATGTCAGTTTGGCATTCTATATGAACTCATAGGCTGAAAGAACAGAAAGGAAAAATAGATTTTCTTAGCAAATAGACTCAGCTATGTTATGATTCACTCACATTAAAGGCATAGTAGACACAAGGGAAACAAGAAAAAAAATGCACACGGACACAGACATATTTCCATGGGATCCCTCCAGCCATGCAGCACTAATGTTTACATGACTACAAAATACACAAGAATTCATAAAAGTTTAGCCAAAACCATGCCAAGTTTTTCCTGACATATAATAACATGAACCCAATCCATATCGTTTTTAAATATCAATTTTCAGTTATGCATGACATTACCATCAGCATCACCATAATTTCTGGCAACAAAAAAAAAGCTGATAAATTGACCAGGTTTCAGGTGTTCAGGACATAATTCCTTGATTTTGATTTCATGAGGTCAAATGTTATCTAACAAGATGAAAATATAGACCAGATTTTTTCAAGTGTTTCTCAAATGGGATTTACTTTTTTTATTTATTTATTTTTATTTATCAAGTACATAGCTTGAAAAATCAGAAAAGAAAAGATAAACCAACTCTATTTTGAGCATCAGTAAGTCATATATTTTGATTGATTAGAGTAGGTTTCAACCCCCATGTAGTTGGGATAAGGCATCGTTGGGTTTGATTAGGTTTTAGACATTCAGTCAACAGTCTACTATCGAATTTTCAAAATAGTCTTAAGTTAACCATCAAGTTGCTGAAATGAAATGCCTTACCAAAAATGAAAAGAAATTAAATTCCTTACCAAACAATGCATTGAAAAGCAATACTATTGTCAATAGTTTTCCGAAGTACTCACACTAAAATTCCACTATAGCAAAATTCAGTGGTTTTCTTCAGTGCATCTAAGTTGGGCACAAAAGTATCTATGATTTGATATACAAATAAGTCAACCACCCATACATAACTTTTCATGATAGTTCAAGGTATTAAATAAAAAGCCAAGTACAAAACACAATTTAAAATTTAAATTTAGTCTGCAACAAATCAACAAAATTATCAGTGATTGTAACCAACACAATGTAACAACTCCGAAAGCAGCAATGACATAATAAGAGATCGACAAACAAGATCAATGAGAAATAACACGAATGCAAGATGGATGTACTAACCTTGACATTGCTGATACCAGATCTCTGCTATTGTTGGCATGCAAGATAACACAGAGTATATTGTAAGCAGAAAATTCCATGTGGCACCCCTTAATTGACTCCGCATAAAGTGTTTTCAACTGTGATTGACACTGCAAATCAGATGGAAGAAAGTCAGCCAATGCCTCTAATCAACATGAACAATTAAATGGAATCAACATTCAATTTACTAAGCTCCATAAACAATTCTAAAAGAAATTGCCCTAGTTCCAATAACATATGTCGAACACTTATCTCATACCCTTACTAAAGTAGTGTCCTGACATGAGTACATTAGACATTTAGAAGAGTTCATAGACTACAACTAAAAGCCAAATTTGAGACAAGAGTTTCAACTTTCAAATAATAGAAATTTTCTGGTTTAAAAACTGGAAGTTGTTATCATCCTATTCTCCACACAAAATAATGCCTATAAGAATCCTAGAGAAGAAGGGAGGCATGGTGCGAAGCAGTCCTAGAACCTACACCATAGGTTAAATTGGTTTTGATCATGAACAATGAACACCTATAGATGCAATGACAAAGAAGAGTGATATAATCACTATAAATAAAAATGTTAAGGAGAGGAAAAGATGTAAATTGACATGGGATGTAGTAGTAAAAAAGGCTATGAATTTATTTAATTTAACTAAGCATATAGCCCTTAACATAACAAAATTGTAAAAAGGATTTATGTAGCTAAACCCACTTAATTTGAACACATGGCTTAGTTGGGTTTTGATTTTTTTTATTCATTTTCCATGTATATATATTCTAGTAATTAAGATGGGCTATTGGGGACCCCTTTGAACAATGAGGGCTTTTATTCAGTAGGGTTTTTAGATGAGGAGTTTATTTTGTTTTGACTTGGTGTTTCAACAAGAAGTGTTTTATTCAGTCTTTATTATTGGGGCCCGTGAACAAGGAAGGTTTTTAGTTTGTTGGAACTTCGGACAGAGAATTTTATGTTTTATAATTTTTGGATAAGAACTATTTTATTTTATTGAGCCTTTGGATAGGGTGTTTTTTTATTTTGTAGAGCCTTCAGACAAGAAGATTTTTTTTAGTTTTATTTTATTTTTGGATAAGATTTATTTTATTTTATTTGCGGCCTTCAAATAATTGGGGATCTTAGGTGAGATGGGAGATTTGCGCCGTTAGTACGGCCGAGCTAAGATAGGGCGGGTCGTGACAGACCTCACGGCGCCTTGCTATTTCCTCTACTGAGACGCTCAGTGGGTCTGTTTTGCTCGGTCGAAAAGATCGGCTGACCGGGCGTGAACTAAGCCTGGCCGAGCTGCGACTAGCAAACATTTGGCAGGGCACACAGCCAAGTGGCGAGACCGGGCTACGGGTAGCTCGGGCTAAACTATGGACAAGTGAGGGATGGCACGTCTCTGACCGGTTAGCCGAGATGGGCAAATTCCAGATAACCTCGAATGAAGGTAAAACGGACGAAGGCCGACATGCCTCGCGACCGGTATGCCACGATAAACGGGTCAATACCAGCCTGGCCCATGAGCATCACCCCTCTGCCCCTTTGTCAAGGGGCAGTCCGGTGGGGCATAGCTCGGTTGAGTGCCTGTGGTGACAGTTCTTCGCAAAAGATAGGCCGGTCGTGGTACTCTGGTCAGGTGTGCCACCTGGGCCAATGGCGCGAGGGAGAGGACATCTGCTCCACGCACGCCTCAATACCGTTGGACAGTTCTGCGTGTACTGGTGGAAGGACTAAGCCTTTACACGCGTAAGGTGGTGGGAGGCGAGCATTGCCACCTGTCCAGGGAAGGACAGCAGAGGTAGTGCGCGCGCAATCTTGAGGCAACATGGCCAGCCTAGAAATATGGTGGAAGACGAACGTTAGAGGTATGCAACTTCTCCCCCAAAAGAAAATACTCTCTCTCTATCAGTCTTCCCCTTCCTTAAGTGGATTGACTTGATCGTCGGAGGGTCTATCCGGCACACCACCGCCGGGCAGCTCACCGTTTCCGTGTTGCCAGGTAAACGCCGTCAAGAGAAGCTTGGAGTACAAGGAGTACGGAAAGCAGAGGATATTTCGCCCCCATACAATTGGCGCCGTCTGTGGGAATTCTTTGATACTCAACCCTTGCTCTTTGAGCTTCTTCAACCACTTCCATGGCCAACAACGGCGAAGCCCCACTATCCGTCGTCGATGGTGTCACACCTGAGTACGTCCGCTTGAGAGAAGGTCCTCCAAATATTCCAGCCATGGCGGGCCTAGAGACTCCTTCGCGAGATACGCGAGACAAACACGAGAGGAGTATTGATCGTTCGCTGAGTCCGGAGAGCCACCGACGCCGGGGGGGGGTTTTCCATGCGCAGCCGGCTGGAGCACAAACTCAAGGACCAAGACGCCCTCATTCGCAAGATGGCAAGCGTAGGAGGGGGGGGAAAGGGGGGGGGAGGAAAGAGGGGAAAAAGGAGGAGAGGGGGGGAAGGGGAAATAAGGGGAGGAGATGGAGCTGCTGAAAATGCCAGATTGCAAGGAAGGGTGTTGCTAGAGAGGGCAAACCTCGTGGAGCGCACCCCGTCCCCTCGTAGGACTCACTCTCTCTCCATCACCAGGAACTATGGGGTTGGAGATTCTGACTAAAGAGAGGGCAGGACCCTCTCTCGCGACAGCACCTACCGCCCCTCACGCCCGACGCCGACGCCGGGATCCTCTTTCTCCACAGGTTCCAGGGACTTGAGGAATGTATTAGAGGAGAGGGCGCGCCGTCGGGAGGCTTGGAGAGTGCCGACATTGCAGAGGTTAAGCGCTTCAGTTCGTTATAGTGAGGAAGTGGCGATGCCAGCCCCCAAAGCGATAGCTCCTGCGCTGGTGGACAAAGAGCTGGCGCGACTTACAGCCACGCCGCTGTCTCCGGAGATTGAGAGTACACCACTCCCCGCCGGATTCCACCAGCTAAAGTTCACTTTGTACGACGGTAAGATGGATCCGTACATGCATGTGAGCCATTACCGACAAGTAATGGCTGGCCATCGGCGCAACGACGCCTTGATATGCCTCATATTCCCAGTAAGCTTGGGAGAGCTGGGTTTGAAGCGGTTCGAAAGGCCCCCGGAGGGGAGTATTGAGGGGTGGCAGCAACTAGCGGAAGCCTTCGTCCCCAGGTTCAAAACCAACACACGAACGCCGAAGGAGGTCGACCATCTCCTGGGCGTGAAGATGGAGTCTGGATGTTCGTTGAAGGCATACAATGCGAAATACTGGAAAACTTACAATGAGATCCTCGACTGCCCCACCAATCTGGAAATCACTCAATACAAACGGGGTCTCCCAGTCGGACATAGGCTACGCGATTCACTCACGATGCATCAACCCACAACCATGGAGTCATTGATGCAGCGGATCAATGAGCACATTCGTGTGGAGGATGATGCCGCCTCCGCGATCGAGAAGGCTAATCCGGTCGCGGTGGACAGAAGGGTGGCGGGGAAAGTTCACTTAGTTGGGTAGGAGGATAACCGCCCAAACAACCGGTCAAAAGATCAGCGCCATGGTTCAAACCGTGATGACAGAAACAAGGGTCGCCGAAACGACCGGGCTGACACTCCCCGTGATGCAGCGAAGGATGCCAAAAGAAAATTAAAGGCACGGACTGGAATCACCACGGTATTTAAAATCACCATCTATCGCATTTTGAGCGAGATTCGAGGTGAACCCTTCATCCGTTGGCCGGCCAAGTTGGGGAGCGCGCAGAGGGGCTTCAATTCAAAATATCGTTGCACCTTTCATGAAGAATGGGGGCACCGAACAGAGGACTGCTTGCCGCTCAAACAACACTTAGAGGAGTTGGTGGCGGCGGGGCATCTTGACCAATACATAGATGGGGGCATCAAGGCCATGCCAGCGGACCAAGCCGAGCCAAACGGCCTAGCCACCCTAGAAGCGCCCCCGTAAGGTGTAATCAACGTCATCCATGGCATCATTAAACCGGCCAGGGTCTGCGAGCTGAGAGGGATGATCAAGAAGGTGGAGCACTGAGAGAAGTGCTCTCTGTTCAGCCTGTTGTGAAGAAGGGAAAGACCGAAGAAAGGGACATCCTTTCATTCTCAACCAAGGACTTGGAAAGAGTTCAGATGCCGCACAATGATGCTTTCGTAGTCACTCTTCGCGTCGACATCAAGAGAATCTTGATCGACCAGGGGAGTTCGGTAGAAATTATGTATTATGACGCGTTTAAACAAATGAAGTTGGAAGACAAGGACTTGGCCCCCGCAACGTCCCCTTTGGTCGGCTTCAACTCATAGCCAGAATGGCCAATCGGAAAGATTATTTTGCCGGTCAAAGCGGGATCGGTCGTAAAGCAAGTAGAGTTCTGGGTGCTCAAAGTTCCATCGACTTATAACTTGATCTTAGGCAGGGGTTGGCTGCACACCATGCAAGCAGTTGCTTCGACCTTAATGGCAGCCGAGCGGCCAAAGAACCTCGATGATGAGCAAGAAGAAGACGAATTTGACATTGTTTAACTATATAAATCGTGACATAGAACCTTGATGTATTTAATACATACTGTTTGAGGACATTCTACAACACTTTTTGCTATATATGTTGCTGCTATGCTGTCCGTTTAGTTGGAGAGTTTGGTCTAATATTAACTTGTGAACTGCTGCTCTGGTTGTTGTTCTGTTCTGCTGCATTTGATTTAGAGTGTGTTCTGTGCTGTGTGTCTGCTGTAGTGCCTGTTCTGTCTGTCTGCTGTAGTGTACATAACTGAAGGGCTGGCTGTCTGTAGTTCCTGTTCTATTTTTGCTGATGTGTTGATCTGTGGTGACTGTTTTGTTTTGCTTTGCTCATGGTTGTGTATCTGTTTTGTTGCTGTGTTGGCTTAAACAATCTTGGTGCTTGTAGTGGATGTAGGGCTGCTGTAGTTCAAGGCAGTGGTTGTCTTCTCTGCCTGTCCTGTTTTGGTGATCTGTTTTGGTGCTTGGAAGGGCTGCTGTAGTGCCTTATCTGGTTTTTATTCATGGCAGTGCTATAGTGCCTAATATTGTTGGATTTCCTGGCTTTATTTGCTTTGTGTGTTGGTCTCTCACCAACTAGGAGGTTGGAGCTTGTTATAGCTCCATGCTCCTCTTTATTGATGTACTTATTCATATATTTCATCAATAAAGTCTTCTTTTTGCCGATCAAAAACCCAAAAAATTTAATATGTCATCAATATCACTTGCAAATTTATGTAGATGGATTAATATATATGTATGAAATTAAGATTTTCATGGATGTTCATTTCTTAGTTATTTTATTTGTTAATTATTACTGTTGACGTACATGTATGTGTTCACATTAACAAT